TTTAAAGTCTTTAAAATTTTCAGAAAAAAATTCATGGTTGAAAAGCTTGAGAAATTATTAGGGCAATGGAGTTAGTTACTGATATGAAGAATCTGATAAATATAAATTCAGAAAATATATTGTTAAAACAGACATCTGAAAATTAGTGATTAATACTTTACAAGTTTCCTTCTTGTAAATCACATTCTCCTCCAATTTTTTTTTTTTTTTTTTTTTTTTGTGGTACGTGCCCCTAGCAGGAACCAAATCCAGGACTCTCTGGTCCGCAGGCTGACGCTCAACCGCTGAGCCAAACTGGCCAGGGCTCTCCCAAAATTTTTAACAACATATTTATAGAGTTCCCTTCTGTCACTGCTATAGACATGCATAAGAGGATATATGTTCTTCCATTTAATGCTTCATAACATTCAATGCCTTTTTGATTTACTATAGCTACTGACTATTAATTCTTGGGTCTTACTGTAATTCCAAAATCAAAGTAACTGATTCCTGGAATGAAAAACATCTGGAGAAACTAACTTTTGTCTAGCCCATTCTGCATAGATAGATGTGGGGAAAATTCCCATATGTACCTATATATATTATAGTATTTCTTAAATACTATTCCTAACACATAAGAGATTATATATACTTTTAACCTCTGACCACATTCCACTCAGGGCAAGGCTCATTAGTCCAAAGTAGAATACTCAAAACTGGTTTTAGCAGCCCCTCTCCTCCTAATTAGTAAAATATAGCTCTGAGGCCCAGGTATATTTTACCTCAACTTTATCCTTCCAGGGCTCTTCTGAAAAAAAATTCCATTTTTCTTTACCCCCATTTCCTCATCTCTTTCTAACCTTTAATGCCCTCTTTTTTCCTAATGCCAGATCCAAAGCCATCAAGTTAAGGAAAACACATACATAATAAAACCACATATACTAGAATAGGGGAAAATGAATCCATGGTTACAGAGGACGTGAATCTAGACATGTGTTTCCATTCAGCACTTATTCAGATGTAATACCAAGTAAAATGTTAGTAACATGTTTACATACCATGGAACATTCATGTCCTATTTCTCCTATGAAACATTTCTTATCATGTGTACTGGGCACATTAGAAATGCTTTGAAAATTTGAGTAGAATGACTAAGTTAACTACTACTGACCAGGAATCATACTTATTTCAATTCTGATTGTTGAAAACATCTCTAATACATTGTTAATATGCTACTAAGTTGATTTTTTTTTTCCTTCCCTTACTTCAGAGTCAGTTTGACCAATTATCAAAGATGGAATAATATGAAGTGTGAATCAGAAAACAGACGACCTGGGTCCAAGTCCTAGTTCTACCACTTACTGTATCTTGAGCAAATTACTTGACTTCTGTGAACCCCAACCTAACCTATTAACTCTTAATTTGTAAAATTGGAATGATATAAAACTACCTCAAAAAATTATTTTAAGAATCAAATATAATATATAAAATAACACTTTATAAATTAAGTGCTTTTGTTGTTATCAAGTAGATTTAAACGTCTGTTTAAGGGCCCAGTCCAATCCCCCTAGAAAATTCTTTCAGAGGAAAGAAAAAATTACTGACATAAGATTTATTGTCAAGTGTTTGTTTTCCTAAAAAAAAAAAAATGCAGCTAGAAAGAAAAGTGGTCAAAGTTTACTTTAGCTATGCAGGGGGACACTACTAATAATGGAGAAGCAGCTCAAGTGCCCAACCAAAGAGGGAGGCTGAGTATATTAATTTGGTATATTATATTACTATTTAAATTAAAAATATGTAAACCACCAAAACATGGACACATTTATATGAAACACTAAGCAGGAAGAGGAAGAAGTCCAAGATAGTACAAGTATTTTAGAAGCAATCTCTATATGTATTTTATGGAAATGTCCAACCAAATATACTAATAGCCATACTGGTCCTCCAAAGCAGTGTCAGGAAAAGGAATGTTTTTTATTATATCAAGTTCATTTGTTTTTATTGAGGCAAACACTTGGCTAGAAAAAAACTAATGAGAGTGTAGCTTCAAATTATACAAATAAATTTCATTGAGTAAAAACACAAAGCTTTAACTAGTTTCACAAATATACATACACACTTCATTTAGTTTCGTTCTTATATAGTAATATACATACACCCCATTATGGTTTAATTAAGTGTCAAAAGCTCACCATAAGAAGAGCAATAAAGCTTAATAGCAAGGGCCTGTTGAATTTATTTTTGTTGACCTTAAAGCATTTTCCACTTTCAGAGTAGAACCAAAAGGTGGAGGGTTCAATTTGCAGTCAGGGCACATACCCAGGTTGTGGATTCGATCCCCATTAGGGGCACGTATGGGAGACAACTGATCCATCTCTCTCTCTCTTCCTCTCTCTAAAATTAAAAAAAAAAAAATTTTTTTAAGTCCTCTTAACATAGGACATACTCTTTTGTAAAAAATTAACTTCACATCTCTTTTATTTTTTAGTTCTTATAATAAGTTTCTAGATATGTTTGGGAGTAAGGGAGGGATTATCTGTAAATGGAATTTAAAATTCCATGCAGATGTGTACATGTACTTGCATTTTTTGACCCAGGGTCCACACCTTCTATTAGATTCTCAATGGATTTCATGACCTCAAAAGAGGTTGAAAATCACTACTATGTATTTCACAGGGTGCACTTTTCAAATCTAAAAGGAGTAATTATATCCCAGTTTATTATTAATTGCTAAGTAAAATAAGGCTTTCCATCCACAGAAATGAAGGCTCACGAGCTTTATGACTGCATCCCTGGAATAAAAGCAGGAGTTTGAATTTAACTGCCTAATGAAAGATACTGCTTGTCAGTATACAACCTACTCTGCAGTTTCAGAAAAGGTTAACATCTCCTTACCAAAAAGCCAATCTGAAACAACCTGGACTACCTAGCTGATATAAACTTTCTTTTTTCAATAGTCTGTTGCACTCTCTAAATTTTTCTGCAAATATAAAAATTGTATACAATTTGTCATCTATTTTATTACTTTAGTTACCAAGATACAAAATGCCATTGTAATTATCTCCTTACCAAAGCCCTGGCTTTCAGGACTTCAAAATAAATATCATTTTAAGAGGTCAAAGTAAACAGCATTAGCCATCTTAAAAACAAACAAACGAAGAGATAAAGTAGTCCTTTTCCTAGTTGGTCTAAGTTAAATTTATAAGAAACATTTGCCATCAGCTATCTAAAATGGCAGGACTTAAGGCATAATGTTCCAAAACCAAAAATGACACAACTTTTCAAGGTAAGTGATAAAAACCTATACTTCCCACAGAACAAAATAAGTAAACTTTGAAGTTCACATTTAAGAGTCTAAAATTACACTAACAAAAATAGAATAAAATTACACTCACAGCCTAAAAACCAAAGTTAAAGAAAAAAAATCACGAAATGTGATTTAAATTTCAAATCAAAGCCAAACACCTTCAAGGTTGTTCACTTTCAGCTTCTTAAATATTTTCTGCTTAAGGTATCCACTTTCTCCATAGAAACTTGATCAGAAAAATCCCTTTGAAATGTTTTATAAATTAAATTCCAGTGTTCCGGCTATGCAGAATGAATATTTCATTTGATTCTTTTAGGAAAAGAGTAGCCTCATTCATAAATTACATCTAAACCTAAAAGGGGAAATGTTTCTTTCCAGAACCTTAAAAAAAAAAATGAGCAACAAAGTTGATGAAAGAACACTGCTGCCACGTCTTTTCCCCTCCCCCACTCACGTAGTGGCTATTTCATCCTTTTAGCGTGCATTCCAAGGGACAGGCAGAGCCACAGCTCTGGGAGAAACCAGAAACAGTTAAGTTGAAATTGGCAAGCCTGTTCGGCCTTTTAGATCAATTCCTAAAAGGAGATCTAGCGTCTTACTCATCCCTTTCTAAAATAAACAGTGCAAACATTCCAAGTCTTACCCACTCTACCCGGGACGCATAAGATGTTTAGTGTCTAAAAACTGAGTTGTGGTTATTTACTTTTGTTTTTATTTATTTTATTTTATTTCATTTCATTTCATTTTTTCCATCACAATTTATCCCCTCTATGCCCTCTTCTACCTCCACCCACCCACCTACCCCCTAAAAACTGAATTGTATTTAATACATTCAATTATTCAGGAAAATAGCCTCAGTTATGGTACCATTCTTCCTCCCCCTTAAAACATAGATCTGGGGGCCATTCATGTACTCCAACTCAAAGTTCTCACACAACCATGGGATACTGCTGGACTTTAAAGCAGCCAACTCTGCTGAAAGAGAGGTGAGGGGGAGAAGCTCACGTGCCTTTAAAAATATCTCAGTGAGAAGAGGGAAGGAAAAAGACGAGCTTCCCCGACGACTGGGTGATCTGACAGCCGACTTCCTCAACCAAACTGTCGGAACCCGCCGCCCGGGGCCACGTCTAGCTACTCCAGCGGCCCCGCTGTGCGTTCGCACGAGTTGAGCCTGAACTTCTCTTCCCAGACGCGAAGATTTTTCGATACAGCAAAAATGTCTGGAGAGCTTCAGCTCTGAGCTTTAAAATCCGCTCTCCATTGCCACATGCTAACCATCTGCTGCCACAGAAGCCCAAAACCCACGCCCCGCACGCGCGTTCCCATCAGCTTTGCCCGGAGGGCCAGGTATGAGAGGAGCTCGGGAAAATCAACAGGGTGAGTCCTCCCGGGAAGAAACATTCAAGAAAGTTCTGGTCCCCGGGGCGGGGACTGAGGCTGCCGCAGCCCGAACGGCCGGGGGCGCCCACCAGGGAGGAGGTGAGAAGGGGAGCACGGGCAGAGGCAGAGGGGCCTCTGGGCCAGCCAGGGGTCCCAGGGCGAGGGGCCGAGTCTCCAGAGAGATCCTGAGGCTGCGGTGGAAAACTGGAGAACCCTCGTCCCCCAAACCATCCCACCAGAGGGGGCAGGGGCCAGACCACCAGGGCCGTCCGAGAAGAGCCGCAGCTGCCTGAGGACCTCGGCCTCAGTCTCCCAGGGCGGGGGAGCGTCTCACCTGAGAAGCGGGACGGGAGAGCGTTCTTCAGCCCCCTGTTGCCTGCACTCGGGCGGGCTACCTACTCCTTCCCTCAGCCCGCTGGCGGTCCGACTGGGCAGCAGAGGGAGCCAGTAAGCCTTTTTATAACCTCTTGGCCGCCAAGGCAACGCTGGCTAGGAGGCGACTGCAGACCTCTCTACGTGAGCTCTATCACACCAGCGTCCCGCCCACTGCGCAGGCGCCGGCTCCGGCCTCCCTCTGGCCGCCACTCCCCGCCCACACCCGCGGCCCACACCCGGGGCCCACACCCGCCGTCCCCGCGAGCTGGTGGAGTCTGAGGCCGAGAGGTGGGGCCAGCGGGAGGGCCTGGGATGTAACGCGCCTGCGCGAGGTTCTCGCCACGCCACCGTCACCGTGGTTACCTCGGGTGTGCCCAGCTCCTTTTCTTCAGGTTATTTAGAGCCTTAATTTCAGGATCAGCCTCAGGCCGGAACGACGAAGCCACCAGGGAGGAGATATCTTAAACAGGAGAAGAGGAACCTGGTAGCGTAGAAAAGAAAGCAGAAAGGAAGATTCCAGCGGACCTTTGGTATCTCAGCTGTCTTGGCCTGGAGCCTTTTTGCTTCACTAACCTCCCTCTCTCACCTCTGCTGTCGTGCAAATCTCGATCCATCGCCCACCTTTATACTTTATTAGTAGATAATGGACTCTGTGCTCCAGAGACAGATTTTTGGTGGGGTTCGGTTCTTGGCCCAATCCCACATAACATTGGGCATTACCTCTCTGTATCCTAGTTTCCTCATAAGTAAATTAGTAATAAAGGTAGATACCTCATAGTATTATCGTGAGAATTAAATGATAACGTATTTGAAGCACTTAGCACAAGACTAGCACGCAGAAAGGACTTGGTAAATAGATTGTGTTGTTGTAGCATATAAGGCACCCAATGTTGTTTTGGTCTTAGTCTAATGTTTGTGTTGGTCATTATATTCCTAAAAGAAAGCCTTGCTATTGGGAAGCATGGAATGGAGATAATCTTTCCCTTGTCAGTGAAACGGAAGAATGACTTCCCTAAGACTTATCATTTGTTAAAAATTGCTTCTAAAGTTTTCCATGGATGCTGAAAAGCATAGTAATTAATAATTAACATTTGACTCTTATCTAGGAGGTGGGGTCGATTATACAGATACAGAAATACAGGGTAGCCCTGGCCGTTTGCTCAGTGGTTAGAGCTTCGGCCTGCAGTCCAGAGAGACCTGGGTTCGTGCCCGCTAAGGGCTAAGGGCACATACCTCGGTTGTAGTTTGTCCCCGGCCCTCATTGGTCCTGCGGGTGGCAGCCACTCGATGTGTCCCATTCACTCGATGTTTCTCTCTCTCTTCTTCTCCCTCCCACTCTGTCTGAACAAAAAATGGAAAAATGTCCTCTAGTGAGGATAAAAAAAAAAAAAAAAAGGAAGAAATAGAGGGTACTTTGGTAGCCTGAGGCAGTAGATACAGGAGTAGTTCCCTCTAATCTGGGATTTTGCTTTCTGTAGTTTCAGTGGTTTCAGTTACCTGCAGTCAATCATGGTCTGAAAATATTACATAGAAAATTCCAGAAATAAACAATTCGTAAGTTTTAAATTGCACACTACTGGATACCTGATGAAATCTTGAGCCATCCTGCTCCTTCCTGCCCAGGTCGTGAATCATTCCTTTGTCCAGCTTATCCATAGGGATACCCTCCCCACCTATTAGTCACTTAGTAGCCCTCTGGGTTTTCAGCTCCACTATCACTGTATCACAGTGCTTGTATTCAAGTAACCTTTTTTTATTTAATGGTCCCAAAGCACAAGAGTAGTGAGGCTGGCAATTTGGATATGCCAAAGAGAAGATGCAAAGTGCTTTTCAACTTAATAAGGAAAGAAAGAAAATCATTTTTTGAGGTTGCTAAGAATAAACCTTCTATCTGCGAAATTGTGAAAAGAGAAAAAGAAATTCATGCTAGTGTTGTTGCACCTCAAACTGCAAAAATTACGGCCAGTGTGTGTGTGACAAGTGCTTAGTTAGGATGAAAAAGACATTAGATTTGTAGGTGGAAGACCTGAACAGATATAGCCTTGTGTTCCAGTTGACCACAACATGTTGCACCAGAAAGCATTGAGCCTCAGCAAGGGATACCCTGAAATGAGTGACCATATTAACATAACTTTTATTACAGCATATTGTTATAACTGTTCTGTTGTATTATTGTTACTGTTGTTAATACCATACTGTGCCTTATTTATAAATTGAATTTTATCTTAGGTATGTATATATTGGAAAAAACATATTATAAATAAGGTTTGGCACTATCTGTGGTTTCAGGTCTCCACTGGAGATTTTGGAACGTGTCCCTCTTTTATAAGGAGAGACTACTGTATAATGATGTGTATTTTGTTGTTGTTGTTGTTGTTTAAATATGTCTTTATTTATTTCAGAGAGAGGAAGGGAGCAGGAGAGAGAGACATCAGTGAGAGAGAAACATCAAATATTGATCACCTGCCTCCACAGCCCCCCCCAGGGATCAGACCCAAAACCTAGGTACCTGCCCTGACTGGGAATCAAACCAATAACCTCCTAGTGCATGAGATGATGCTCAACCAACTGAGCCACAGCGACTGGGCTACATAGTGATATTTTAATCAGCTGTTCTTAAAACATGGTCAGGGATCCCCAGGGCCAAAATTATTTCATATTAAGACTTTACTTGCCTTTTACACTGTAATTAAAGCACAGTGGAGCCCTGGCCGGTTTGGCTCAGCGGTTAGAGCGACGGCCTGCGGTCCTGAGAGACCCGGGTTCGGTTCCCACTAAGGGCACGTACCTCGGTTGCAGTTTGTCCCCGGCCCTGGTTGGTTGTGCGGGTGGCAGCCACTCGATGTGTTCCTTTCACATCGATGTTTCTCTCTCTCTTTCTGTTCCTCTCTCTCCCTCCCACTCTACCTGAATAAAAAATGGAAAAATGTCCTCGGGTGAGGATAAAAAAATAAATAAATAAATAAAGTACAGTGGAGTTTTCCAGAGAGCATAGTCTGTGCAACAAATTGAATGCAGAAGCAGATATGAGAATTAAGTCAGACATTAAAGAGATTTGCAGAAATATGAAATAATATCACTCTTCTCACTAAGCTATTTTTGCTTTGGAAAATACAGTTATTTTTCATTTTAAAATGTTATGTTAAGCCCGGCCTGTGTGGCTCAGTGGATTGAGCATCATCCCATGGACTGAGAGGTCTAGGTTCGATTCCCAGTCAGGGCACATGCTGGGGTTGTGGGCTTGATCCCCAGTAGGGGCCATGCAGGAGGTAGTCGATCCATGTTTCTCACATCAATGTTTCTATCTCTCTCTTCCTTCCTCTCTCTCTAAAAAAATCAATAAAAACATTATTATTATTTTTTTAAATAGCTCCAAACTTTGAAGCAGTTTACTGTGAAGCTAAGAAAGCTTTAGGGGCCATCATTTGCACTAGCACTTTCCAAGGCCCGGAAGAGGCCCCAGGAATATGTTCACATGGATATATGCTTTTGTGAAATTTATAAAAGTAAATATTTTAACTGTAATCTCTAGATTCCTAATTCTTTCCTCACTGACTTCCCGTCATGCTTCCCCCTTGTCTAGTGGTGCTGGAGTGGCTAGCAGGCATTTAAAAAATTTAGGTGAACAGAAGTTGAATTAGAATACATTTGGTATGAGTTGAATGGGACATATTTTTGTAATTCATAGGCGCTTGCATGTATACTTAAGACATTGTCAGTTGTCTCAGTGTAGCAGTGGAATCCAGAAATACTCCTTCCCCTCATTGTGCTGATCCACCACCCAGCATTATAAAACAAAGGTGAAGGGCCGCATTTTGTAGCTATTTGAATGTATCCTTTGTTCTTAGTATCAAAAATATATGGATAGTGGAAAGAAGCAAAGTTGAAACAGTAGAGAGCCTGAAGCTAATCTATGGAAAATTCTAATTATTGGATGTGTGAAATTTTAATTAAAGATTTAGTACTTCTCAATGTTTAGCCAATAAAAGGAAATTTTTGTCAGAATTTAATAAGGACATCCACAACAAACTAGTCAGTGTCATCATCTTAAAGAAAACTAATGTGGACTTCCGGTCAAGATGGCAGCATAGGTAAACATGGTATTGCGTCCTCCCAAAACCACATCAAAGTTACAACTAAACTGCAGAACAACTGTCATTCAAAACCGTCTGAAATCAAACTGAATGGAAGTCCTACAACTACGGAATTAAAGAAGCAGCCACATCGAGACTGATAGAAGGCGCGGAGGCAGGACGGGCTGGGCCCACACCCACGTGTGCCGGATAAAAATCAGGAGGGACACCTCGGCTGGGAAGGTACTCCCTGAGGATTGAGAGGTCCCTGTCCCACACCAGGCGCCCCGCTCAGGATTCCAGTGGCAGGAAGAGAAGTCTTCATAACTTCTGGCTGTAAAACCAGTGGGAACTGAGGCTCAGGGAGGCTGAGGCAGCTGGAGCCCCAGGCAGCTCCTCTTAAAGGGCCCACACGCAGACTTATCGGGCTCACTCCCTCTAAGCTTGGAGGGGAGGCATCTCGAGGGGCGCCAGAGACATACAGGGAGAAACTGAACTGTTTGGCATTGGAGCGAAGGCTGGAGGGGGGCTTTCTCTCGGACAAACGTGCTGTCAGAGGCCTTTGTTCCTTTGGTGAGCCCTTTCCTGGGGCGGCAAATAGCCACCATATCTGGGACTCCAGCAACCTGGCTCACACTGGTAGCCCCACCCTGGTGACTCCCTGAGGCCCCACCCCATCCAACTTTCAGGCCCACCCAAGCTGTTGCCAGTTGCTTAGCCATAGGATTGGCCTGTCTTGGATCCTGCTTCAGGGTTTCCTAAATTCTTTCAAACAAGCAGCATCTGGTCTCAGCTAGCCCCATACCTCTCGTTAAGTAATACACTGAAACAAACACAGGGAGGCAGCCAAAATGAGGAGACAAAGAAACAGGTCCCAAATGAAAGAACAGAACGAAACCCCAGGAAAAGAACTAAGTGAAATGGAGATAAGCAACCTAACAGATGCTGAGTTCAAAATACTGCTTATAAGGATGCTCAGTGAACTTAGTGAGAACCTCAGCGAACTTAGTGAGGGCC